TCGGGGGCCGGGCTGAGCAAGGGCGGCGCCTCCCCGGCCCTGCCCCAGCCTCCCCTCCCCTCCCCGCGGGAAAGAGCAGGGACCTCCGCGCGGGACTCGCCTCCTCCCGGCCGGGGCGGGCTGTCCACACAGCCCTCTAGCCTGGGAGGGTGTCCGCACACAGCCCTCTATCCTGCGGGGTGGGATGTGTCCAGTCCACACACATCCTTGCACCCTGGTGGGAGGTGGGAATGTGTCCACACACACCCCTCTAGCCTGGGGAGGAGGGTGTAGACATCGCTGAGCTAAGCAGCCTCTTGGGGAGTTATAACAGGAGAGATTCCTGCTCCCCCCGACAAGCAGGCTGAAGGCAGGGTCGATCTGCACATTATAAAAACAACCAGATGCTGTATTGGCAGGCTGAAGGCAGGGTTGCTTCTGGGGGGAGGCAGGAGACCCTCCTGATTGCGAGAGCACGCTCCAAGAGTTTGCTGAGCTCAGGGATGCTCAGCCGGGTGCCAGAAGATGCTTTTAAGGGTGTCGCACAATATTAGCGCTGTTTCTGCAGTGCCATTCACAAGGTAAACCCTGCCGGGGCTCCAGAGCATCTAGAAATGTTCTGCGCTGGCAGGGGCTTCCTGAGGCCTTTGCAACAGAAACATTGCTCCAGTGTGGCTCCCTAGTCCTGAAAGCAAGTGGGAGCTCAGAGCGGGTATGTCCCAAAGGGAGCCCTGAGTCTAAAGAGGTTGAAGGCCACCGATTGAAAACAAATGCCCCTGATTCTCTACCAGCAATAGTTGCAAGGGTGAAACAAGATGAAGAATTTGAAAATCAACCAATGCAACCAGTCCCCTTCAAGCTTTATTATCCCAAAGATCTGGGACTAGCAGCCACCACCTTCAGTGAATGTGGCTGTTCTTACTTTCAGCAGACAGGAAAACATGGATGACATCTCTTAGATCAATACTGTCCACAGTCAGGACTTCAACTCCCATATACAGATGTCACTTGCTTTATGATGTAGATGCATTCATGGAAAACGGCACATAACTCAAATTCGCATAAAGGGACCCCACTTTACAATGTAACAAATAGGGATACGTTCCAAGACCTCAAACATACTGACCGCCAGACCCATTTCTACCACTTTTACAAGACAGTTTTGGTACTCACCAACAGCAGACTGCACGTAAGCACAGGATGGCTGGGGCGAAGGGGATTCAGCGCCTCCAAACACGGGGCTGCAGGCTCCAGGTGGCTGCAGAAGGGGTGGGGAAGGGCGTGCACGCAGCTGGGGTTGCAGCCTGGCAGAGGCGGTTGCTGCTGCGTACTGTGCTTTGCACCCAGCTGCCCCAGGAACAGCACCACTGGGCTGTGCCCCCCTGCCTGCCTGGTGGTAGGACACACATGGCATCACGCCACTCCCAAGGCAGCTGCAGCTCCAGAAGCACGGGCACCAGCTGGCCTGAGTGGTGGCCAGGGGCACTGCTGTTGGGCAGCTTCATGGCTCTCAGCTGACTGCGGACTTCCACTACACCGACCACATAAGAATGAATTTGCCTTACATATAATGAATTTTTGGTATGAAAAGGGTAATTGCATAACAGTGAATTCGCACATACAGAACCTGCATAAAGCGAGGGAAACCTGTAAAAGCAAAACCTGCCAGTTGTTTGAGAATGAGCCACTACACAACACAAATATGTCTTCACATGCTTGAAAAACTTTGTTCTTCCCTGGAATCAGATACGGGCAATGCTAACATACTCCTGAATGTAAAGAAAGCAAAAAAGAAAGGACAAAAGCTTACTTTTTTCCCAGAAACTCAGATGGGTTTTGAGCAAGTTCAACATTTTAGCTGCCAAGAACATTTATGGTGGCATTAGGGTGATGGTATAGCTGTGAGGGTCCAAGAACTCTGGAAGAGGCAAGGATTTCTTAGGGTGATGGCTTTTATTAGACCAGGTGGGCTGGAATTAGACAAGCTTTTGAATGCAAAACATGCTTCATCTTATGGCAGAGGATGGCACTTCTAATGCTTTGCATCTTTGATACTAATGTAGCACACCCAAAATGTTCAAGTCATTTTGTGCTGTAAAGCATTTCATGTCACTGTGTCTCTTGTTCAGCTGTAAAGCATGATCATGTTTTCTGTGTGATTGTTGTATATTGTGTCTCCTCTAGGACTGGAGAGGACCACCTCCCATCCCCACCCCACCACCCCAGACCATTGCTTTAAGATTTCTCAACCGAACCTATAAAACCAGTTTAGTGACTGGCCAAATCCTGGAGTGGTGACCCCCCTTGAATTGATTGGTCTGCATTAGCAGTGTGCGAAAGAGGCTGCTTCTTGACTGGGGCCCTGTGATGAGGTCAGAAAAACAATTTAAGGTTCAGGCCACCTGGGCTGGAGGGCTCTCTCTTTTAGCTCAGTGGAGCTATATCAGTTCACTACCCTGACCAAAGTCATGCAATTAAAATGGCATTGTGTAGTGGAGGGTTGCACCCTTGTCTGCTTGCGGACAGGGCTCCCTACAAGAGCCTCAGAGTTAGCTTCCCACTGGCCAGCTTCTAGTGGGAGGATCTCAGCTACTTTATGGAAATGGGAGACTCCTTAGCTTGCTCCTGCAGCCATACGGCCAAGGGCAAGCCAAACTCGGGGGCATCCGAACCCCAAGCTTCTGGGCTTGGTCCTGCAAATAGGATGCCTGCCAAAGGATTTGGAAGCATCTGAAACCCCAGATGGGGGTGGAGGATGTTTGCTGGTAGTAGGGCCACATTCGGTTCTTGAATGACTCATGGATTTGGAATTGATTTGGCTGATTTGACTTGGAACACGAAAAATTTTCCTTTAAAAAAAAAAAATCTCACTGAAGAGCCCTTCCCATCGCAGAGGGAACTGGTGACCCCAGCGGACAGTGACAGCGAGGGAGATGTTGCACCCAAATTCTCAGGGACTAACCTCTTTTGTGTTGAGACTCCCCTACTTTCGGACTGCCGAGCCTGGGGTCGAAGGCTCCCCAATAGGGGTAGGGGTGATACAAGGTCTAGTTTGAACCAGGACAGTGTTTTTGTTTTACTTGACTGTATGTTGCGTTCTGGTGTTTGTAATAAATCATGGGGTTTGTGTTCATACTGCTTGTGAGGGAAGGGTTGTTGGTTTTATTGGACATCCTAGTGATTCATTTAGTGTTTCCCACGTACATTGAGCAGGGGCTCGAGCCAAAGTAAAATATATTCAGTACCCCCAAAACTGAACCCGGCCCTTGTTGCTGCTGACAGGTGCTCAGCGGAAGGGTTATGCTTCATATGAAAACTCGGACAAATTACGAGGTTCCTCATTCTTTCCCCCAAAAGACTGCATAGCGGCATCCGAAATGTAGTAGAAAACGCTGACTTGGTTCTTTCCTGGAGTAGTTAAGGGCTGCGTCGGCTCTTAAGCAAACCTCTTCTTGCTTTGTGGTTAAGTTGTTTTTCTCGTGGGAAATTGACTCCCATGCTCAGGTCATTGGTCACTTCCCTCCGACCAGCCCAGGACACTTGTAAATCCATTATCAGAATGCTTGTTTTTACATGAAAAACCCTTCAAGGCTTTTAGAGGCCTAGTTTATTCAATACACACTTTACTTGAGATGTTGACTTCATAAAGTAACTCATGCACAACCACAGTATGCAAGAATCAACAGCTGCAGATTTTGAGAATTGAGGAATTTAGCATTGACCCCTTTGGATTTTGGTTCCTGTAGGTTCCCTTAGGTTTGACTTGAGACTGAAACAAAAATGTCACCGACTTTCAAAGCTTTGTGCTGTAATACACAGGTTGCATCAAGTTGGCTTTTCCATTTTGTTTCACTGAAGGGCTTTGCCCATAGATTAGTCACAGCTTGGCACATCTCTTTGAAACAGCTGCAAAGAAGTATCAGTGCTTTGCAACATGTTGAAAAACACCACACACCAATGCAAGAATTCGAGGTATCACTGAACACAGGATTTGAAGGACGTGTGTTGCATGGGACACAAAACACTCTCTTGTTAAGGTCCCCAAATCTCTTTTGAACTCCCCCGTGTTTGCCTTTCATAGGTACCCCGTTGTTATAGTTTGGACCAGCAAAATCACCGAGATTTTAATTTCTTTTAACTATTTGAGGAGATATATACCAGCACATACATCCCTGAAACATGGAAGATGCGAAATTTTAGCCGATTTTGGATTATAAACTTAATTGCTGAACAACAAGAACGATTTCTACACCTCCCTGCCTGCCATCTGACACCACCAGGGAAGAAATCCTGCTTGATCTAAACAACAAAGAGCAAGCTCACGAAGAGACTCTCGTGGACCCAGAGAGACAGTTGTCCAACTTCTGCTTCCTCTGCGCAGAAATGAAGTTTATTTCCTACATGTGGGGACTTTTGACTATCTTGAGCTTTCCCTGAGCCTGAAGAAGGGCGCATGAGCCTGAAAGGTTGCAGAAAAAGATATATTTTTTGCAATTTCTCAGTTGGTCTAAGACAAGGTATCATTTTGGAATCAAGAGTTCTAGATTTTTACATTTCTTTTTGTCTCAGACCAACCCGGCTACCAC